TATGGCGATTACTGGAGGGAAATGCGACGTCTGTACGTTATCGAACTCTTCAGCATTAAAAGAGTCCAATCCTTCCGGTTCGTCAGAGAAGAAGAGGTGGAATTCCTAATAAAATCAATTTCGGAATTCTCCAAATTAGGGACACCGGTCAACCTCAGTGAGAAGCTGATGTCTCTTACTGCCGATATTACTTGTCGGGTTGCTTTTGGAAAGAGTTTTAGAGAAAGGGCATACGAAGATTTCGGCGCAGATTTCGGCGCGGATTTCGAAGAGGTGATTCATGAAGCTATAGCCATGTTGGGAAGCTTTGCGGCCGCCGATTTCTTTCCTTACTTCGGTTGGATTGTCGACAGAATGACCGGTCTCCATACAAGACTCGAACGGAGTTTTAAAAAACTGGATGCTTTCTTTCAGAAAGTGCTAGACGATCACCTCTGCTCCGGTCGCCAAATTACAGAGGAAGAACAGGAAGATATCATCGACGTTCTGATAAAAATAGGGAAATATGAGAAGGCATCCGGTACTGAAAAAATCACTCATAATCACATCAAAGCTATTCTTATGGTAAGCATGTCACTTCAAACTTCCTCTGTTTTTGCAATGTTTCTTCTTTTAAAAAGTTAATTTCAGCAATTACTCCTTAGGATCGACTGACTTCACAAGCAATTTTGAAAGGTTGAGGCCTAATAAGAAGAGAATTTATTCTGAAATTTTCAAACTGACCACCTTTGGATCTGTCACCGATCAGGACCTATTTCTCGCCGGATCCGATACCAGTGCCATAAGCATGGCTTGGGCCATGGCGGAGCTGGCAAAGAACCCAAGAGTGATGAAGAAAGCACAGGAAGAAATAAGAAACAGCGTTGGGAATAAAGGGAAAGTCTCAGAAACTGACATCGAAAAACTTCCGTATCTGAAGGCGGTGGTTAAGGAAAACTGGCGGCTGCATCCTCCGGCGACATTGCTGCTTGCAAGGGAAGCCATTACCCGATTCTACGTCTCGGGTTACATCATCGACTCAAAGACCCGAATACAAGTAAATGTTTGGGCCATCGGGCGGGATCCAAATGTGTGGGAAAACCCCCAAGAGTTCTACCCCGA